TACAGCCGGGTGTCCTTCGCCATAGATGGCCAGAAGAACCGCGAGTGGAGATGACCGTACGTCTTCTCGAAACCGAAGTGACCAGCTATAGCGGAGTCGTGTGCATCGTGAAGAAGAGAAAGCCGAAGGTCAGAGTTCGAGGGGATACAAACAAGTAAAAGATCATTACGTTGAATGCAAAGAACACCATCAACAAGAGAGTAATTAGACGGTGGACTTCCCTGGAGGCAGCTTTCATAGATCGGTTTGAGGCGGTGATCCTCTTTGTAACCATCCATCAGGCGCTGCCGGAGCCTGGGGTCGAGCTGTACTGAGAGTGTGTTAATCTCTCTATGGTCCGGTCGGCGAGACAGGGCATCTGGGACAATGTTGTCGGCTCCTTTCTTGTACTTGAAGGTGAAGTTGTATTCCTGCAACAGTTCCATCCAGGGGGCCTGACGGCGGGTGAGTTTGGGTTGAGTGGGGAAGTGTTGGAGGGTGGCATGGTCGGTGTATACGATGAAGTGGGATCCGTCCAGATAGTAGCGTCATGTCTTCAATGCATGTACAACAACCAACAGTTCCTGTTCATGTGTTGGGTAGTTGCGTTCGGCAGAGTTCAGCTTGCGGGAGGTGAAGGCGACGGGGCGCGACTCGCCATGCTCATCGGTCTGAAAGAGAACGGCACCGAGAGCAAAGCCGGAGGCATCGGTTTCGACGGTTGTTAGAAGGTCGGGGTCGAAGATACGTAGAACAGGTGCTTTACTGATGGCCTCCTTCAGAGTCGTAAACGCTACTTCCTGCTCCTGAGACCAAGAGAAAGGAACGCCTTCACCTAAGAGAGCGGTCAACGGTAGGGCGATCGAGGCAAAGTTAGCGATGTACCGATGATAGAACTGTGCAAGACCAACAAACAGCTGAACATCTTTCTGCTTCTGGGGACGGGGCCATTCACGGATGGCACGAACGAGACCGCCGCTCGTGTGGATACCGTCCTTGGAGATGACGTGGCCGAGGAACTCGGTCTCTTCCTGCATAAAGGAGCACTTGCTCAACTTGGCGTAGAGACCGTACTTGCGGAGGAGCGTGAGGACGGATCGGAGATGTTGTAGATGTTCGGCCTCAGTGCGCGAGTAGATAAGGATGTCGTCGAGGTAAACAACAACCCACTTGTCGAGAACAGGGTCTAATACTCGTAGCATCATATTGGAGAAGGACGCCGGTGCATTCGTTAACCCGAAAGGGACCACATTAAATTCGAAATGGCCGTAGCGGCAACGGAAGGCTGTCTTGTGTGTGTCCTCTTCTGCTATACGTTGCTGATGGTAACCGGAGAGGAGGTCAAGTTTGGTAAAGTAGCGTGCCCCGCGGAAACGGTCGATAAGTTCATCAATGCGGGGAAGGGGGTGTCTGTTCTTTTTTGTAATCCGGTTTAACCCTCTGTAATCAACACACATACGCAAGGAACCATCCTTCTTTTTCACAAACAACACAGGGGCACCATAAGGGGAGGTAGAGGGTTTGATAAAGCCTTTGCCAAGTAGGTCGTCGAGTTGCTTCCTTAGTTCATCCAATTCAGCAATCGAGAGACGTATAACAGGGCGAAAGGGGGGATCAGCGCTCGGATCAGTTTCGATCTTCATTGCATCGCCTCTGTCAGGGGGAAGGCCAGAGGGGAGGGAGGAAGGGAAAACGTCGGGGAACTCGTTGTGGACGATGTTGTGAATGTCGGGTGAGAGTGGAGGGGAGGTCGGCTTGTTGTCGTTACTGTTGTTGTCGTTGGTCTTTTTAGCGATTTTGACGAGGGCGAGGTAGACAGCGTTTCCAGATTGGGTAGCAAGGGAGTGAAAGTGAAGGTGAGAGAGGAGTTTCCCTTGTGTGCGAGCGGAGATGGAGTTGGCGTTGGCACCACGACAGCGCCAGAGAACAGTGTGTCCATTGTGGGTGAAGTGAAGGTCGTTGTTTCGCCAGTTGATGAAAGGGTTGATGGTCGTTAGCCAGGGGTTTCCAAGGATGAGGTCGTAGTTGGAGAGGGGGTAAACGAGTGCTTCCAGTTTGTCGGAGTAGTGGTCGCGGTCAATGGTAAAGGTGGAGGTGGATGATGAAATGGAAGAGGAACCGTTTGGAAGGATGATGGGGATGGAGGGGCCAGGAGTGCGAGTGAGGGAGTGTTGTTTGCAAAAAGAAGAACTGATGACGTTCCCTTCCGCACCGCAATCGATTAAAATACGCGCAGGGGCACCAGCCACATTACCAATAAATGACAAGAGCGTACGGGAGGCTTTCTCGGCCGTGAAAGCGTGCAGACGGACGGATTTGTGTCGCAAGCGTTTGGTCCTGCGCTTGGACATGGGTTGGTCTAAAGCAGCAGGAGAGGAGAGTGCGTCCAGGTCCACTTCTTCTGATGGGCTAAAACCAACAGACGAGGTATCAGATACGTCGTCGGTGAGTTGTAACTCATCGTCAAAGGGTACCGTGGTGGAGTGAGTGTTGGGGGCAGTGGTGGTCGAGTCGATGGCAATTGAGGAGGGAGTACGAGGCGAGGCAGGGATGGATGAGGGAAAAAGGGAGAGTGGAGGAGGAGAGAAGGAGAGTTTGTGTAGGCTACGAGGTGCGGATGTGGTAGTGCGAATAATGGATACAGAGGGGGGAGTGTTTTTGATAGCAGAATTTTTATTCTTGGAACTGTAACTTAACTCTGGTAAGGAAACACTCCCTTTGTTCAGAGGAGAAAGGGAGGGAACGTCGACGATCAAGTCCTGGACTAAGCCTGATCGTCGGAGGCTTTTCCCGACTCGGGGGAATCACCCACGGCTACTTGATAAACCCATCGTCCTTGGCGGTTGTTGTTGTTGCCACGGTTGGTGTTGTTGTTGTCGCCGTAGATGGGGCACTCCTTTGCATAATGTCCAGGTTGGCGACAGCGACGGCAAGCATTGTTGTTTTTACACCATTCGCGTTCCTGAGGGGTCAGGGAAGGGGGATTACCATTGTTGTTGTTGTTTCGGGGGCCGTTGTTGTTATTGTTGTTGCGGTTGTAGTTATTGTTATGAGCCATGTTTCTCTCTAGGCGATTAAATCGTTGGGTGATATTGTTGAGGGCGATCTGGATGTTGTCGATTTCCATGGGGGTGGCTTGAGAGAGAGCGGAGGAAGAGGTGAAGGAAGAAATAATGGGGGCGGAGGCGATGGCGAGCGAGTTGGTCTTGGGGCCGGTGTCGGGTTTGAAGGAGTAAATGCGGTCTATCTCTTGGGCGTATTGAAAGATCTGAATGAGGGTGATATTGGGGTTTTGAATAATGTGTCCTTCGATCATCTGTTGAAGAACCAAGGGGCAGTTGTCGATAAAGGATGTTTGGGCGAACTCGTTGACCGTGGTCTTGGCAGCGTCGGTGGAGGCATAACCAAGGAGGGCGCCCAAAAGTTCCTTGAATGTAGATAAGTAGGTCGAAAAGTTGGTGGTCATGCGAAGATTGGTGAGGTGTCGTCGACAGGAGCCCGCAAAGTTGTTGGGAATGTACTCTAGCTTAAAAGCAGGAGTAAACTCGGTCTCGAAGTTGCAAGTATCAGGGAGCCCACATCCATCAAACCATCGGGCAGGGCCAGGCGTGCCCAAGTACGAGAGAGCGTGGGGTGTTCGTTCAGTCTCACTTATCTTAGCAAGGTTGAAGTAGCGGTTAACCGCAACGAGCCAGGCCAAGGCAGAGAAACCGTCGCGGGCGCCTGTAAAGACAGGAAGGGGGTTAAGGCGGGCAGGGGTAACCATGACTGGTAGTGCAGATAGAAGTGCGGAGAGGTCAAAAATGTCCAGAGTGTAAGAGGGTACGAAGGAAAATAGGGGCAGGGAATGAAATTCAGGGCTGGTGTGCAGAGAGAGCTGGGACGAGGGAAAATTAAAGTAAAACGCGGGCAGTGAAAACGGGGAGGGAAAAATCAAGAGATCGGTGGAACGAGGGAACCTTTGCTACCATGCAACAGGCGAAGACTGGGACAGAGAAGTATAGAACGGGGACGAGAGTTGAAGCAGTGATGATTGATGTTATTACTATGGTACAACTAAATATATATACAAAGTCGCCAACTAGGTTTCTAGGTGTAGTGTCATAGTGAGTCAGAGATGATAGAGAGTGACAAGGAATGACTAACTAGAGAGCAATGATAAACCTAATATGTTGCACTTGGGCTTTGGATATTTTTTATATGCCTTTTTATATCCTCTGCACATGAAGGGGCCGCTAAGCTATGCCCACCATTTCTTAATATGACATATCAGGGGAATTCTAGGGAATAATTGACATAATTACGTGTGTATACTCCCTATTTTTGCAGAAAACGACATTATGGAGACTGATACCGTCGTAAACCCTACGCCAAAGAAACTTGCACGGCTGCTTGATAATCTGTTGGAGAACGAATGGGGATTTCTTGATGAACCGTGGCCAATGTGCCCAAAGGTCAAGACATTTCATCGTTCAGAGTTGAAACCAATCGCAAGAATACAGGATATGAAAAAGGTGTTGATGAAGAGACTTGGAGCCATACCAGTGTTTTTCTTTCTATCTACCATCTGGAGTAAACACTATTTCCCTGGTCCATATAACGCACTTGAGAAAGGAATTGCATTTCTGTACTTTTTCGTCGCTGGAGAGACTATGGATTCCATGGCACAGTATATGCCAAAGTCCACATTCCATTTGATATACAGCACATTCGTCAAGGTGGAACGTGCATTATTTGAGAAGGAGATTACACGCTGTTTTGCATCTATGTTCTCTTCGCTGGAAATTCGTATTCGAACAGCCAATTGGAAAAATCCCCCAATGTTCAAGCATGTAACTCTCTACTTGGATGGTCATGACTCTCGAGCAACATATGGGGAAGATAAAGCAGCAATGTATTCTTATAAGTTAAAGAAATCGGGTTTGAGAACGCAAGTGGCCATCGATGCCAATGGAATGGTTCTCTTTGTATCCAAATCAGCGTCATGTCGTGATAACAACGATGGGAAAATGTTACAAGAGATGGGCATTGGTAAGAAGATCAACAACATGGACTGTATTGCTCTCGATGGAGGATATACACAATACATTGGCGATATTGTGGAAAAAGAAAAGTTGGACGAGCGTAACTTCTGTTTTCCCATTCGTAAGAAACGACTACAGCAACTCCACGAAGAGGAATCCAACTTTAATGCTATGTTTGGTGGATTTCGATCTACGTCAGAGGCTGTCTTTGGTGATCTCATGAAAACATTCGTCAAGTTTAACAATAAGGAGATTGTAAGAGTTGGATCCAAAAAGGAGTTTAATCTTACATTCCGCCTTTGTCTTCTCTTGCTAAATGTTCGCAACTTTGTTAAAGCAGTGGACATCGAAGAGCAGCCACATCATCGTGGATGGATGGAAGAAGGAGTAGATTATCCACGAGAAAGGCAACTTGTCCCAGAGTTAACACAAACCGTTACAGTACAAAACAAACTGGAAAATGGTCTTGAGTTACAAAGAATGCAGGAGAAATTTGTAGGAATAGATGTTGCTTCAGATGATGATGATGAACAAACGTCAAATAAGGATGATGACGAGGAAATGTCAAACCACGAAGACGATAATACCAGTCTATAATTAACAAAAGTCTTTCCAAAGTTTTTAAAAACCTCTCAAACGCGCTCGCACTTCATATCAAGTATATTATGTGAATTAACCACTCTAATCGCTCGAAATGTCATGAACGGCACACCTTTCACACTACCAATTCTCTGTAGACCTTGAAGATGCTCCACACGCCATGGTCTCCAAATCTTTGCCAACGATTTTCCTTCGCGCACCTTTATGCCACATGCTGTAATAAAATGCCAACGACGTTCAGAACGAAATTCTTTGAGACCGGCCGCCACAATGGTATACTCTTCATCAGGCTCTATTGCGCCTTTCATAAATTTTTATTGTGCTCTTGACGAGGAGCTGTCGTCACTTCACCAAGTGTCAAAAATTAAAGTGTCACAATGCACCAGTGAAGTGTCACTTTGCACCAGGTGAAGTTTTTTTTTTTAGTGTGTGTTGTTTTCTACTTTTTTTTTATTATCCCTTAATGTCTTCCTCACCATCTCCCTCAACTTCCTCTCGTCGGTCAGCCAGCCCAACGGCGAGAGCGACTACCACCTCGACCTCTTCATCTCATGGCTCTTCTTCATCAGTTACAGTTGTGACCGTGACCTCTTCATCTCCATCCGCCGCGACAGCCTCTTCCTCCACAGTGAATGTTGAGTCCATCTCTTCATCTTCCGGATCCAGGTCCACCGTTCGCACCTCAACAACTTCGCAGGATGATACAGCTGATAACGAGGGTCCCTCTTCCTCAGGTACAGATACAGTTGATGATGGGGCTCCCTCCTCTTCAACAGCCCCTGCACCAGCAGCCTCACGACCATTACGAACGGCGCCACTTGTACCCCAACCCGCCTATCGGTTTATATTACACTTTCGAAAAGGTGTGCGAGGCAACTACAAGCGCAAGTCTGTCAATAGCATTCCTTCCACTGCCGAGTGGGCTTTCGAGAGTGCACACTCTTTCGGCGTCCTACTCGGTCTTATCAGAGCATATTCTGTCGTACACGCACCATTAGTCTGGCCTCAAGACGATCTTCCCGATATCATCCCATCACCAAGTAAAGGCGCAAGACTGCAAGCCGCTGTGACCCTAAACGAGGACAACTTTCTGCAGATAATCGACAACTCATGGAGAGCATGGACAAGGTCAGGAAAGCACAGTGGGGCTCTTCAATTGATTATCTACATGACCGAGCCTGTCGCCCTTGGTGCCTCTTCTTCCTCCAGCAACAATATACTCCACCGATCAACTGCCGGAAGAATTGCGGAGGTCAGCCGACGTCTTAACGAACAAGAGGATGCGGATGAGCTCGGAGATATGGAGCGAGCCTACCATGTGCACTATCTGTCCAAACGAGCGATGCCTCCGCCGGGAAATAGTTTCGTCCTTCCAAACAACAACACGTCTCGACAAGCCCATGACTTGGATAATGCTGCGCGTCGGGTGCGTGAGAAGAGAAGAGCGGAGGAAGTCGAGGGTTTGGAGGACGACGAGTTCGTCCCAGTTCGAGTCAAGGTGGATCTGGAGATCACAGTTAAAATGTCTAGACAGGACTTGGCAAAGGCACTTGGTTTGCCTTCTGGGTTCAACCTTTCTTCCTTCAACTTTTTTGGTCAAAATCATGCAGGAAACCAACCCCCCGATGCCCCTGAAGAAGACATCCCTGATAGAGACCATATGACTGATGATGATGACAATGAATAAGCATTTTATTTTTTTTCTTTTTGTATGAACATTTCATCTCGAAGTACTCCTTTCTGCTCGTACCCACAATGAGAAAAAAGGTTGACAGCAGTGGTCTCCCCTTTAGTGCAGGCTAACAAGGCAACATCAAGCACCTTCTCTGGCTGCTGGGGGAAAACTAAATTGGCATATCGTTCCAACCATCTCTTCAATTGTGAGAAACCGACCTCGATGGGGTTGAGCTGTGGTGAGTAAGGCGGAAGATAGAATAGTAAAGCGCCTCGAGTAGCAATAGCCTCTTCCAATTGACTGTACATATGGATTCTGGCATTATCCATAATAACAATCGAATTGGGCAAAGGGTAAGGGTTAAGAAGAGGGAGGATGTTTTGAACAAAAGCTTGGTGGAAGGAGGTACGAGTAAAAGTGCCAGAAGTGGTCGACCAGCCTTGAAAGCCGGTCTTGTCCATCGCAGCTAATAGAGAGACTCGCTTGCCACGGGAAAATGGAAGGGTGACAATGGCTGGCTCTCCTTTTTTGGACCAGGCATATCGACGAAGAGCCGCTCTGCCATCCTTGCTTGACTCATCAATGAAAACCAGCTGCTCGGGATAGTTATAGAAGACTTGAAGGCGTTGTTGGTAATCAACCAACTCTTGTGGAGCAGCTTCACGAGCTCTCTTCTGGAGTACCTTTCTAGTAAGACCCAAATCATGGCGGAGCGCTCGACAGATGGTAGGGAGAGAGGTGTTCGTCAAGGTTGGAAACGACGCTCGAAGGTGGTCTCGCAGTTCCTCCATCAAAAAGCAAGGGTGTTCCTTCACATAGTCGCGGACAAATTCGTTCACAATGGGTGGCCAACGAGAACGGATATTGCGAACTTGGACTTTCATTACGACCCCGTCTTCATTGAAGAGCTCTACCAAAAACACAAGTGAGTTAGCAAAGGTATCAAAGGTGTCAAGTCTGATTTAGTAGCCGAGACGAATACATACTTGTCCAAACCGAAATAGTTGGTGGTGACACTCCCATGAGATAGGCAACGTATTCTTTCTCATATCCTTGGAAGCAATAAAGATTGATAGCAGCCCAGCGTAGGTCTTCGGAATACATTGAAGGGACGGAGGAGGGAGGAGGAGGAGGGGAGGGATGAGGGAGGAAGTGAAAGAGAGAAAAAGAAGTTTTTCACTGGACCTTTCCTCGGCCCTCATGATTAGAATAACACGTCAATACTACACTTAACGAAGCACTACTGGTTTTTACACTTTCACAAGTATAAAAACCAGTAAGATCTTCAGCAAAGAGGTGTCATTGTTTGGTGAAGTGCTGGTTTGTAGCGTAAGGGAAATGTCTTGGGTCGAAATAGTTAAATATGTTATGGAATACCAATGGAAGTTGCAAGAATTTGTACAGACGATTATGGAAGGAGTTTTTAAAAAGACAACAGATATATCTATAAAGAATACATATACAAAAGCAAAAGAATCCAAATGGACATAGTTATCTAGCAGTATTACAAGAGCAAAACGTAAGGAAAGAGTATCAACATAAACATATTTTACATATCGGTAATCGAGGAATAGAATTGGGGGAGTGCGCTTTTTTTTGGGCGAGGGAGTACACCTGTTTTCTCGTCTTTTGTTAAGCTATGCCCACCATTTTAAATCACCTACGTTCATATAACATATATAGCATTTATACATGTGTCAACGGTGAATCTCATGCATATACATCATGATGATAATGGTACCAGCTTGGTTGACAGTACATGAATTCCCTGGGAATAATTCCCATAATACTACTTATGGAAGGTATATATATTGCACATTTTAAAAGATTATTCCGATAGCTCAACAACATTGGCTGTATCTAATTCTTCCTCTTGATTTACCATGATACCACTGGCAAATCCTTTGATCAAGGCATTTATTATATAAATCTCCTTCTTCTGCTGGGAAATAATTTGGTTCATCTTATCCATTCCTTTCTCCAATTTTCTGACACGTTTCTTCAACTTCTTATTCTCATACCGTAAATCATCATCGGATTGTTGTACATCCTCGTCTTTCTTAGATCTCCCAGATTTCACATGATTTCCACCATTCTTTTTTGCCTGATAGCTCTCCTTGGAAGACTTTATCTTGCATTCCTTACATGTATTTCTGGAATCATCGTAGAAATCATATAAAGGCTTCTTTTTGTCACACCTGTTGCAAATCCTTTTTGGCATATTAGGCGGAATGGTGATCTCTTGATAGTTGATATACCACGTTTTTTCCCGGGAATATTTCTCTCAATGTTTGTGTTTGAGGGCATACACAACAATATCTAATATAGATGTCAAGTTGTATCTATTCAAGGGAGTAATTGACAAATAGGTATATAGGGGGATGAGCATTTAGACGTTTTATCGCCGCAAATATATTATGCCCAGGCCTACACGTTTAACCAAAGCACGCCAGCAGGAAGTTGTTGCAGATTTTATTTATGAGAAGAATCTGGAATTGTGTATGTTTGTCTATTTGGATGAATTTTTAGATCATCATCGTAACCTCTTTCCACAAGATGCCACTATATTTGGCACTAACGGCATAAAAAAGTTATTAGAGGCATCTTATCAACTCCTACGTGACAAAATACGTGCAGATGGATTACTTACCGAGAAAGACGCTGGTGAATATATGCTTAGAAAAAAATGACGACCTAAATTATAGACTTTTTAAAACCTAAGTATACCTTTTATTATGTCGCCAACAAAAGAATCTCTGATAAACAAAGCCATCAACGAAATTTCCCATTTGCTGTCAAATGTGGGTAATCTACAGTCAGCACCATTTGGCAGTGTGGAGAGAAAAGGATTCACCAAATTCTCCAAACTCTTTTGCGATTCCATCATCTTTTGGGGTATATATAACTTTGCTGACGATACCACTAAAGGTACAGCAATTGGAAAGTACATTGCTGAACTGCGCGATGCATTTAACCACACCGATTTAATTGTGGAATCTGTAAAGTTGGTCGATGCTAGGCAGGTTAAAATGGATGATAACTATTTTTCTCCGCGCATGGTCAAACGCCATAGAAAGTTGTTTGTTGGAAAAGAATACCAACAGGGTTTTATTGCCATCAAGGTTTCTTTAGATTTTTCCCGTGCAAAGATTGTTGTGCCAATTTTGGCGAACATGTTGTCTAGCTTGAACGAGAGCGGCATTGCTTTACATGACATAGACTTTGCCTATGATTGTACGCGTATTACCACACGACTGCACGTGGAGAGATTGCTAAAACAAACGAAAACTACAAAAATTGTCGATGATGTGGGAAGAGTAGGACATCATTGTATTTCATGGAGAGGTCGAAAAGGGGATACAAAGAATATCCGATATAAGGTGTATAACAAATTTGTTCAGATTTTGGAAAGTGCCGAGGTGCGAAAGAGCCTTGGTTCACGTTTGGAGGATTTGGTGGAGAAAGAAACAGCATTTGGACGACGAGTTAAAAAATATAAAAAGCATGGTTATAGTCGTATCGAGCTGACGTTTGAAGGTTCATCTTTGAGATCTCTTCAGTCATATCAAGACGAAATGGACAAGACAAAGAATCTCTTGAAGAAATGTAAAACATTTAAATGTTCCTTTGAGATGCAGTGGGAGGAACGTGCAAAATGCATTACCTCGATGGTGGCTGTACATTTTCCACATGAGAAACTGTTTGCTTATTGTCACTGGTGGAATTCGGTAACCTCTAAGAAGTATGGATATATGTGGCAAAACTTTAAGAACCCCGAGCTTATTACACTTTTGCTGGCTAACTATTCCTTTAACGATAGACCTATATACTTTGTGGAAGGACATGTAAAAGAGGTAAATGGGAAAGAGAAAGTTATTTTGGGCGAAATAAGGACATTTAAGCGCGAGCCTGGATGTACTGCCATCACACTAGTTGCTGGCTCGCAAAAAGGAATGTTTCCTTCGAGGGATGCATCTTCTAACGTCATTCGTAAATTTAGCAAAGTTGGAATTGTGGAAGTTGACAACATCTCTATTGCCTGGCCAAAGCGTGTTCATAACAGATATAGTGCCCCACTTGCAGATATCTTCGAATATGATGAAGATACAGTAGATACAAATGTATTACATCTGAAAACTATTCATGTTTCGATGTATACTGCAGCCGACCGAATTCTAAAGCCTGATGAAGAGTATACCATTGTGGCGGCCGGTCTCAAAGAATTTCGTTCTGAACATCGTTGGCATTTTATTACAGCATGTGGCATAAAGGTGCGCGCAGGAAAATCGTTGGCAAAGATTTGGACACCATGGCGTGTGGAGCATCTTCAAGGTCTACAGAGAATTGGCAGAGTCGAAGGTGTACCGTTGATGACATTTCGTGCAGTAAAAAAGGTTCGTATTCATGGCGAGGACGATATGAAGTGCGAGCGTGTTTGAGAGGTTTTTAAAAACTTTGGAAAGACTTTTGTTAATTATAGACTGGTATTATCATCTTCGTGGTTTGACATTTCCTCGTCATCATCCTTATTTGACGTTTGTTCATCATCATCATCTGAAGCAACATCTATTCCTACAAATTTCTCTTGCATCCTTTGTAACTCAAGACCATTCTCCAGTTTGTTTTGTACTGTAATGGTTTGTGTTAACTCTGGAATAAGTTGCCTTTCTCGTGGATAATCCACTCCTTCTTCCATCCATCCACGATGATGTGGCAGCTCTTCGATGTCGACTGCTTTGACAAAGTTGCGAACATTTAGCAAGAGAAGACAAAGGCGGAATGTAAGATTAAACTCCTTTTTGGATCCAACTCTTACAATCTCCTTATTATTAAACTTGGCGAATGTTTTCATAAGATCACCAAAGACTGCTTCTGACGTAGATCGAAAACCACCAAACATAGCATTAAAGTTGGATTCCTCTTCGTGGAGTTGCTGTAGTCGTTTCTTACGAATGGGAAAACAGAAGTTACGCTCGTCCAACTTTTCTTTTTCCACAATATCGCCAATGTAT